CCGCCGCGCGGCGGGGGGGGATGATGCTGCGGTGCTAGCTGGGGATGATGGGCAGGGTGGTCCAGCACGTGGGGTGACTTATAGGGAGGAGAACGCCGTTAACTCCCTTCCCTTCCCCCTCTTCTTGTAATTGCAGAAGGGGATTATTTGTACCCCCCGAATTTAGGGCCAATTTTTTCTTCCTCCCAGGGTTGCGGAGAGTCAAGCAGCATATAAATTTAATAAATTATTATTATTATTATTCCTGTTTTCTTTAATTAGAATTCCTGGGATCCACATTTGCAGAGCCACGTCTGTCCCCCCCCCGCCCCCATGCGGGTTGGGTCAGTCCATCCAGATAGACCAGCTCAGGAACCAACCCCACAGAAAGGCTAAAATTACTTTGATTGAGGTTGGCTCTAAGAACAGCCTTTTGCAAGTCGGATTGTGCTGGACTTCCCCCCCTTCGTGTGAATCAGGGAGGTGTCTGTTTGAGCCTCTTCTGCATATTTCCTGCTTATTGCGGATTCTGTTTTTGCTGTCGCTTTGGGGACAAAGTTTACGTATCTGCGTCCAGCTCATCTCCCATACTCTATGTCTTGAATGGTTATACGTCCTGGAGAGCAGCAAGAGAGGTCTGATCATGGCACGTTTACACCATGTCTTATATGCCATTGTGGTGTTTTTAGGGCATTCTGGAAGAGGATAAAGCGCCTCCGGAGTTGTCTCCCTACACAGGCTGGGTGCTTGAAAAAATCATCTCCCCTTCCCCAAAGTCCGATCCTCCTCTCTCAGCAAACTCCACTCCTGAGGGGGCAGCCCTTTTCCATGGTTTATCCTTGAAGGTTGATGCCTCTCCTGCCGATCAGCTAACCTCCGTGCCCTTGTTAACAGAAGCCCCAGCTGATGTCCAGGTAATGCTTTTTTGCAATAACTTTTTTCCTCTGCTTTTATTTTATGATCTTTTTTTATGCAGTGTCTTATAATCTTAGGTTGTGTTGCTTAACGTTAATTATAAATGCGATCTTGAAGTGTTAACTTTTTTTGTTCTAAAAGGGCAGGCTTTAATTTAATTCCTGTAGTTGTTAGCTCACTTTTGAGTTATACTGAGATGTCCCATCCACTGATATAGACTTGGTGTTATCCAGAAGTTGGCTAGGAATTTTGGGAGCTGTGATCTCATATATCTAAGGGGCACCAAGCTGGGGAAAGCTGTAGGATATTGGACCTGACATGTCTTCAACAATCCTGTGTTTTCGTACCACCTCACTTGCTTTCTCTCCCTCTTTTCACATGGGCCAAGAAGAAACGGGGAACTGTCACAGCAAGCAACCAGGAGCCCTTCGTTCTGACCCCCCTATCAAAAAGTACAGGAGTGGAAGGCCTTATACGTTTGCACAAGGAAATCCAGAAGTTGAAAGGAAAGGTAAGCTCAAAGGCCAGGCTGGAAGGACAATTCCAGCAGAAGCTAATTTAACTATACACTCTTGCCTTGAAAATGGCCAGGAATAATTAGGGTTAAACTCTCATATTTTGTCACCACGACTGGCCTAAGACATTTTGCTTGAGTGAAAGGACAAGGCGGATCTCCCTCTATTCCATGGACCAGCAGGTGAAATTTCAGTGCTGGCAACTGGTTAGGGGTCTCAAAGGTGTCAGCCTAGTTGAGAGGACGCTCTGGAGATTGGTGCATGGCCAAATTTGTTGGGTATCACCAGTCACCGGTAAAGTTTGTATTTGGATAGATAGAAAACCTGGGCGCAAGGCTACCAAGTCAAGCAACAATATTCCTTCTCTGTTTCTAGCTGATTTGATCACGACAACCAGCAAGAAGGGCCATTGCACAAAATTACAAAGGTGCCTGCCTGCGTTATAATTTTTGCAAGAGCGTGGGCCTGCAGGTTCCTCTCTTATTTCCCTTTCCCTCTTGCAGGAGCAGCTGAAGCAGCGCTTGGAGCAGCAGGAGCAGGTGGTGAAGGCCGCCTCCGAGGAGGCGAGCGAGTTGCTGAAGCGTTTTGATGAGCTGAAGGAGCTGAAGCAGCATCAGGAGTACCAGAATCTGCAGCAAGAGATGGAGAACAGGTGAGCGGCTGGGGGCCTCTCCTGTTGGGGAATTGATCGAGCTTTTATCCAATCCAGGCCCACCGTGATCTCACCGGGTGCTTTTCCATTCCAGCTCCAAAGAAGCTGAAGGGCAACAGGAGAAACTGAAGGAGGAACACCGGCGCAGAGCCAAGGTACGCAAAGCAGCCAGGGGAGTTGCACGGGTCAGTCAGGAAAAGAAAGGTCTTGGAGGTCACCCTTTTGCCACCAGCTAATAAATCCCCACCACTCTTCAGCTGCAGTGGTTCCTGATGGTTTCCTGCCCAGATCTGAAGAGGGTCACCCCATCAACGTCCCCCTCCCCCTGTTTCTTCGCTCTTGACATTTTTTAAGCTATGGAAAAGAGAGGGGAGAGAGACAGAAAGAGGGAGGGAAAAGAAGGAAGAATTGAGAAGGATATGGGTGTATGTCATGGAACCAAACTAACAACAGAGTGATTGTGGGTCGGGGATGAAAAGCGGGTCCTGCTACCAGTATTAATCTCAGAGAAAATGCCATCTCTTCAGCGAATGGGGCCCTTGGCCAGCCACAGAGCCTCTCATGGTTGGGATTGTATCCCTTCTGCCAAGTGATGCTCTCTCTGTCTTGATGCTGCTTGATGCTAGCTGCAGGGGAGGGGCGATCCATCCTTAGCTGTCAGTTGTCATTCCCTTTTCCCAAATGGAAACTTCCTTCTTCCCTCCCAAAGCTTTTAAGCCGGAAGCTGCGTGAGGCTGAGCAGCGGCATCAGCGGCAGGAAGAGCTGGAGCGCCAGCGGCGGGAGGAGAGCCAAGAACGGCTGCGTCGGCTGTATGCCATCCAGGAGGAGGTTTTGCAGATCAACCAGCAGATTGGCCTCAATTCTAGGCACAAAGCACTGCCCACCATTGACCTCTCGCTGTACAGCAACCGTGGCAATCAGATCTGTGGGGAAGTGTCTGCGTTAGTCCGTATGGCCAGTGAGGTAAAAAGCCATTCATGGTTCAAGAGAATCAGCTCCATATCCTGGGCCACCCTCCCCGCAATATTTAAATTGTATCCTACTTTTAATCTTTCCCCAATTTTCCCCAACTGCCCCCCACCCCTCACTTATGTTGGATTACCACTCTCATCAACCCCACATCATGTGGCAGTGATGGAAGCCCCTTTGGCGTGTCCCAGCTAGCATCCCTCAGAATGAGAGCCCTGATCTAAGACACAAAGGTGAAGAAGAAAGTGTTCTCCCTCCGCTCCCCAAATTTTCCATGGGTATTTTTGGACAAAGCAAGCAAAGCCTGCTTCAGAAGAGAGAGAAAGGGGGGCTGGGGCTCATGGAGTTTCAATCCATCATTCTGTAGTACAGCCTGGCCTTGAAAGGCACCGTTCTGACCTTGGAATAATCTACTTCCTGAACACTTGGAACAGGTTGGAACAACCCATTTCAAAATCAGAATGATGCGTCTCATACTGCATGCCTCTGAAAAGGGCAGATGGAAAGATATTTTGAACGTTTGTCTGTCCGTCCATCCATCTAATTTGTCGGAGTTGTTTCATAAACATTTAGGAAGGAAGATTGGCTTTTGATCAGTTCAATAGTCTGGAAGTGCAGATCAAGTCGGTTTGCTTCCAGAAGCCCAGCAAATAACACCCAGAAGTTCTGCATATCGGTCAAACACGTTTGGTATCCCTAAGCCGTTTTCTGATTTTTGCTCTTTTTTCCAAAAGCAGGCTTTCCCCACCGAGGGAGACGTGTCTTCTGCTGATCACGTACTGCTAGAAATGCACCAGCTGCTTTCAGGCATGCAGCAAGAAATTGCTCTCGCCATGGAAGAGAAGAAGAGGCAGGAGGAGGAGATGGCCTTGGCTGCAGTTGCAGCAGCCAAGGCAAAAGAAATGGAGGAGCTGCAGAAACGGGAGCTGGTGAAATCCCAGGTTTCGGATCATGGAAAGCTTGTTGGAGGTAAAATCCCCAAGGAGCGTTACATCTGTTTGTCTGCTTTTCTGGTGCCTTCCAGTTGTGTTGGATTACAGCTCCCATCATCCTCTCCATGGTGGTTGTTTTCCTTAAATCTTGTTCCTCTTTTGAAGTAGCCTTTCCCAATGTGATGCTCTCCAGGCATCTTAAGATTCCTGGCAGGCTCTTCTGGACAGGGTCAGCTTGGGAAATGTGCTTTGAGGGGTAGTTCCCCCCCCACCCCCAATATTTCCAATGTTTTTATTTCCTCTTCAGGCTTTATATTTTCTACAGGCAGTGTTCAGTCTCAGGGAAGTCTTCACGACCGTTAGAATGGCTCTTACTCCCAATCCCTGTTACTGTTTTGTCCGGTGCTGCGCCTCTGTAGTTCTTTTTTGTAAAACAGGCATATGCCTCTCTTGATTCTGTGGAAAAGATAGGACAGGAAGGTAAAGTAATAGCAATAATAATATATTGTATGTTCTGGGGGACTGAAGTGCTGATGACTCAGTCCTAGACACAGTCCAACAGACCTTCAACTCTTTCTGTGCTCTTGAAATTTCCGCATCTACAGCTCCATCTTCCTGTCCTGCAGGTTGGAGCTAGTTGTGTGAGCAAGGGTCTATTGTCAAGGTTCACCTAGTGGGGAAAGCGGAGAAATTGCTGGTTTCCCGTGCCCATGTGATGCTTTGCTACAATTCTTCTCTAGGGCTTCAGGTAAAGGCAGACAGGTCGGCCATGCAGTGGTACCAAGAGCTGCAGAAAGAATCTGAACGGTGCATGGCTTCCTTCAGTCGCTTGGCTAACAGCAAAGACCCTCAGGTAAGAATGCCTAGAGCCTACTGGGGTTTGCACCCAGGGCCAAAAACAGCTGACCTTAATCCAGGGGTGGTTTGGGTGGGAGAAAATGGTTGATAGGACATACCAAGGCCGGGATGTGTAAGGTTTAGTGTGTGATCTATAAGCATCGCTGTTTCTAGCACTTGTGGGGAAAGCAGCTTTTGCTTGTTTTCATCCCCTTTTCTCTTCTGTAACCCGTGGTGGAGACTGAGTTGAAGTGGTTCAGAAAGAAATAACAGTAATTGTTTGAAAATCAAAGCTACAATCATGAATTTTCCCCAGCGTTTCCAACTGAGAGAAGCTCCTGTTTGCGAGCCTTATGTTTTCATTGCCACTTGAAAGGAGAGCCTTCAGAGCACAGTGTCTAGCACGTAAATAAGAGAGAGTTGATCCTCACTTGGTTTAAAAGAGAAACAACATGCAGACACACCACGCTGCTGCAGGAATTGAACTTTTGGATACTGGGCTGGCTCAGGTGCTGAACTTTTCTCTCTCTTTCAGGAGAAAAAAATCAAAATGGAATTACAGAAAGCTGCCACCATCCCTGTTAGCCAGATTTCTACTATAGCAGGTAAGTACTGGCTCCCAATTATTCCTCGAAAGACTTCTGGTCAAAATAATAGTGGTTAATGTCAGATATAACCCCTAAAGACCACTTTCTCCTACCAGCTGCTTGCTTTTGCTATAATAACGTCATTTATTTTGAATGAATAAATCTGGCTCCATGCCCCAGCTGCTTTCCCTGTTTCCATTTTTTTCTTCTGCTGGTCTTTACAGGTTCCCAACTGAGAGAGATATTTGAAAAGATCAATAGCTTCCTTTCAGGAAAATACGTGCACTGCGGGGGCCACAAAGTATCTGTCACTCAGCACCCTGAAGGCCTGGAGTTTGTTTATTTCAAGCTGGCAGAAAAGTTTGTGGTAAGAAAGTGGCATTGGCAGAAAGTTTGCATCCTCCCATCCCCAGATCAAAACTTTGAGTCTGCATGTCTGGTGTTTAAAAGTTTTAAATGGTCAGTTGCCACAGAGGCTTCTTTTAAGCTGCCTTGGAAATGACTTAATAAATAGACGGAGTTTTGCTGTCTGGGAATTAAGGGAATCTGGAGGATTCTGGCTGGAAAAAGAAGAGACATTTAGCAGGTGCTTGGCATTAAAATATGCGCACAGGCTGGGTTTATACACCGCCCTGCCCATAAACCAGGATTTACAAACGATGTCAAGCCCATGTTTGGTGACAGTGATGCGTGAACAGTCTTGTAATTATGGCACGAGGCTGTGCTGTCAAATAACTTTTTAACTGGAGATGGCCTGCAGGAAGTGCCGTCTGCTAATGATCCCTGGATCCTGGGGCACCCATGGCAAGTGGGAACAAGTCCCGAATTCTTTGAAGTTTCCCTCCCGTGGGTTACCTCGAAACAGTTCTCATTTATGACAGGCAAGTCGATTCTGGGCACTTCTCTTCCGCTTTTGAGCACTTAGAGGAGACCAAAAGATCATTTGGGTTTTTTTGCAGAAACAAGGTGAGGAAGAAGTGGCCTCTCACCACGAAGCTGCTTTCCCCATTGCTGTGGTGGCGTCTGGCATCTTGGAGCTGCATCCCAGGGTGGGCACTCTCATCTTGGCTCACCTGCACAAAAAGTGTCCTTATGCGGTCCCCTTCTACCCTGCGCTGAAGGAAGGCACTTCCCTGGAAGAGTACCAGAGGTAATTGCATTCAGTTGAAGGTAATGGGTGGTTGGAAAGGCAGGTGAGACTGTAGGAACTGGCACCCAGGGATTTGGGATGCTTTGTGTTGGAGAACCGTGAACGGATTTGGGCTTCGGTGCTCGTAATCCAGGGTGGGTGTTCTGTGTTAAACCTGGACGTTGAGGTCACAGAGCTGTCCTGTGGTTCATGTTAAGCTTTGATCCCAGGCCCCAGCTGGTCTCCCTGGTTGGGTGGGCAGGTAAGCACGTCCCCGTCTTCTTATTTAGGACGCTCGGCTACCAAGTGAAAGACGAAAAGGTAGAGCCGCAGGATAACTTTCTAAAACGGATGTCTGGAATGATCCGACTCTATGCGGCCATCGTCCAGCTTCAGTGGCCTTATCGAGATAAGCAAGGGGTAAGTGGGTCTTCTGTCATTGCTGATTAAAAGATGGATTTTTCCTTTCCATATGTGAACTGTTTTGGCAGCCCCTTGCCATATCACCCTTCCCATAGTCGGGGGCTGTGGCCTTTATTACAGCCTCTGAATCTGCTCAGAAATCTCGTTGTCTCAGTTAAGGTTACTTCGGATGGAAACCATCTGTGAAAGAGAACATGAAAAAAAAGTGGCTTTTTTTTAGCATAGAAATAATTCAAGAGAGCTGACTCTTCTCTTGTCTGCTAGACTCACCCACATGGATTAAACCATGCCTGGCGTTGGCTGGCACAGATGTTGAACATGGAGCCTCTGGCAGATGTGACAGCAACCATTCTGTTTGACTTCCTGGAGGTGAGTGGTGCTCCTGATCTTCTGCCTGTTGCTGTTTCCTTTTCCTTCCAGTCCACAAGTAGCTATGCTTTCCTGTTAGCATTGCTGGCTTGTCTTGACTTGGATTGGTTTGAGGTAGATTGTATCCTTCTTTCTGTAATCATGGCTTGAAATACGTCTGTTTTGTGTTTCTCAGGTCTGTGGGAATGCTCTCATGAAACAGTATCAGATGCAGTTTTGGAAGATGCTTCTCCTTATCCGGGAAGAGTATTTCCCCAGGTACAACATGGATTTTTAAGGTCATCTGAAGTACCGTCAACATCCTTTACAATCTTTCCGATTGTGAGAAAGAAATTGTTACACAATTTTTTGCTTGTTTGTATTTTCCCTGCTCCCTCAGTTATAAACCTTTGAAGAAGCCACAACAGAGAATCTCCTCTTGGATGCGTTGTGTGTCTCAAAGGTTCTTTGCTGGTGGTTCTTCCCAGCCCTGACTATGGGCCAGACCGGGAGAGGACCAAGGAAGTCAAAGACCCCATAGTATTATGAATTCAACCTTTGAATGGTTGTCAGACCTAATTGCTCTTCTCTTCCTTCCTCCAGGATCGAAGGAATTACCAGCGCTGGGGAAATGGGTTCGCTCATAAGATTCAAGCAGTTCTTGGAGGTAACCTGATGCTCTCTGAGTGGCAATGAAGGTGTTTAGCTAAGAGACGGAGGGCTGAATTTGGCTGGTTGCCCTTCCCTTTCTGCTGTCCCCAGTCCTTCAGCCTTTTATGCATTCAGCTCTCTGCTTCCCCACCCAGTAGAAAGCTCCAGAGCACACAGCTTGCAGGGTCTCGTTCCTTGTCGGAGTATTACCAACCAATGGGAGGGATGTGAGGCTCGCTTGCCCATCGAGAACATGAGAGAAGCAACCTGCAGAGTAGCAGCAGATCACCTCCCCCCACCAACCACCACCTTCTGTATGGAGCCTTTCTCAGCCTCCACCCTCACCTGCTTTGCTATTTCTAGACAACTTGCCAGGCTGATTTATGTCTCACTGTCTTCATCAGAGATCCCAACGTCTCCATTCTAAGCCATCCCCAAGCACGCCGAGCATGTCTGATCTGCTCAGAGTTGTTGAAAAGACATTTTCTAGCCATTAGTCTCAGCTGAATCAATATCCTTCCTTAGCCTTAGACATCGCTTCCCCCATAACGCAAAATGGAGCAGTACAAAATTGCTTCTTACCTCCTCATCACAGTATTGTTGCACGTATGAGCGCTTGCATGACCTACAGTCCGTAGGTAATACGTCAGATGTTATCTTGGGGTTTGAACGTCCTGGCTTTAAAATATCTTTTCTTCTCTCCCAGGAATGCTTACAACAACAGAAAGTTCCTCTGCCAAAAGGATTTTTACCACCATCCTTTTGGAAATCGTGATCCTCAGATTCCTTGCACTTTTACAGAAGGTGAAAGAATAGCCTTCTTCGGTTTTTGTCATCATAGAAAAGTCTGTAAGCAGTTTTACTTTTTTTTTTAAGCCTTTGGACTCTACAGAATCCTAAAATGACTTGCCAGCTTTGTAGGATTGTCAAAATGTCTTTTATCAAATGTTTTAAGCCATTATTTGCACTCACATCTTTGAGCTTGAGGGGAGATTTTGCACACTGGTGTGTCATTCTGTTTTCCTGCTGTGTCACACCCATCCTCCTAAGACACAGAAACAAATTGGTTTCAATGCCCTTGAGGGACTCCTGTGTTTATTAACTTCAGAAGTTTAACACACACCAAAAAAAACACATCTCTGTCTCCAACACTGAGATTGAACTGGAAGAGAGACTAATTTTTAATTAAAGGGTTGCAGTGCTTTGCAGCAAAGGCAGCAGTCGCTCGTCTTTAATTTTAAAAAGCAGGCAGAGTGGAAGCATTTGAACTCATCCAGACAAAGCTTAAAGAATATGAACTGATTTGTGGACTTTTTTAAAAAAAGAGCTTTGCATTTTTTGACGCAAGAAGTATTTTTTTCTCAAAATAGAACAGTGAATGGGAAAGCAGAAGGTCCCGCTGGCTGTTTGCTTTAATTTTCATAAAATCAAGAGGGACTGCTTAAAATCAGTCTGGAACCCATGGTTTTCTAGACCTCGGATCCAAGCCCCATTTAATCCAGGCCAATGATTATTCAAACAATAGGGCCATGGGATTTCTGCTTTTGTTTTAGCAATCAATCTAAAATGAGGGGGAATTTATATTTTTATGCGTTGGTGCCAAGCCGTAAAATAACTCTGATAACTATAGACTTTTCACATGCTCTGGATCCCAGGGGGAGATGTGTAAGTTGACAGCAATTGTGTCAGCTTAACCAGGCATGAAATGTTGAACTTTTGTGCCAATTTGCTACCGGGATGGTTCTGCGAATACGTCTTTGGAAGAAACTGCCTTGAATGTCACTGAAGCTTGAAGAAGGTTTATTTTAAAGACTTCGTTGAATAAATTGTTTTTAATGTTTACGTATGCCTGTTTTCAAAGTAAAGACTTGGAATTTCTAATCTCACGTTCTTTTGTTTGTTTATTTAATGCATTGCTGGTTTTCTGCTTTTGTCTCTTCCCTAAGATTTATTTCTTGCTTTTAATAAGATGGAATTCATGTTATAATTTGGACCTAGAACTGAATTCCAGAGCTGGAGGATCAGAACAATTTGTATCTTAGCCTCCTTCGTTAGTTCCTAGTGGAAATAAGATTTATGGATATGACTTGGATCTTTTCAAAACCCCTGTAGCGAGCTGGATGCACTTAGCCTACATCCCAGTCCGTGTGTTTCTGGGAATAGCTCATTCGCTTTTGAGGGGGGCAGGCGCACGATTGTCAGGGCTATGCGAATGAATGGGTTCAGATGCGTCAATAGCTATATAGAATGCGAAGCTTGATCGGCACTCCTTGGCATCTCAGAGTCTCAGAGGGATGTTGATGTTAGTAGGCATTTTGCTGCATCAAAAGATTGCTGGGATGATAGTACACACCTCTGTGTCAAGCCCAACGCAGGGCTGGGAGGAGAATGCTGTCAGGATCTCTTCCCCGCCTGAATTGCTCTGAGTCATGCTCCTTCCAGACAGTTCTGGTGCCGTTGCAACCTCCTTGCTGTGGGTGCTGCTGCTGCAGTTCAAACCCGCAGCTTGTCCTTTCTTTTTCGTAGAGAGTCTCGTGGATCCACAGAACAAATAAAGCAAAGCTGGGCTCCAACTTGGCCTCTATTCCAAGTTGACGTCAGGGGTTAATTTAATTCAGCGATCTTGATTTGGGCAATTGGATGGAGAAAGGGAGGGAGCAGGTGTATTGCCAGTAATTCCCTCCCCTTGCAGTTGGGACAGATAAGCAAAATCCACTGGATATAAAAGCTGCTTTTTTGGAAAGGAATGTGTGTGGGCTTTCTTGGGAATAAACCCTGCACACACTGGGGCGTTTGCAGCTGAGAGCCTGTAGTTGAGAACCTGGTAATAAGAGTTAAAAGCCCACCCATCCTAATGCACACACACCCCTGTTTGAAGAGCTGGTGTCAAATTCCTACTTGCTCACGGGATTTTTGGTCCAGTGACTGTGCCTCAGTTTAGCCTGCTGCACAAGGCTGTTGAGGGGATAAAAGGTGGAGAAAGAAAACATTGGTGATCAGCCAAGATAGAAATGCAATCAATGGAAACAGAGCGTGCGGGGAGTCAGTCCCATTATCACCAGGGGGTCTTATTTTGGAATCAAACCCGCGTAAGGCTGGTCAGCAGAAGTACAGAGTAGAACAATAGGTAGCAAAGCGGACTTTTCATTATTTTTGGACTTCTGGGGCCCAAAAGGGAAGGAACTGAAAGGTTTGCGGTCTTAAATGGAAAGGCCCTCGGACCCTACCCATCTGTATGTTGAAGCAGGAGCAGAAACGTCAGACCTGTTCGTTGCAGGAAGACTCTGCTCACGTAAGTGTGGGAGGCAGGGCCCCCCAAAAGACAAATTAGCGCAGACTTCCATGCACCCAAAGGTGGGGTCCTCTTGATTCGCTGTACAACAGCATCCGTCGCCTTCAAACGAAGGGTGCCGGGGTGGAAGGAACTTGGCTTAGACACCTGAATAGGCTACGTTTTTATTGTTCTGGCTGAGCAATGCAATACAATGACGTGATTTTAGGCGCAGCCGATTTGCACCGGCAGCCTTGCAGGGGCCAGCAGACGCGAAACGTTTGCCCTTGCAACCTTCGCCTTCCCTCGGCCCTTTCCGGCCCCGCTCGGGCGCAATCGGCTGCCGGTTCCTTCGGCTCGGGCCTTTTCGCCGCCCCTAAGCTCCACCCCTGTGCGCTTCGGCTTTTGCGGCCCGCTCTGCAGCGGTGACATCATCGCGGGCCATCTTATAAATAGGGGCGTCGGCGCCGGCGGAGCGCAGTCGGTGTCTGAGGGGACTGAGAGGAGGGGTGGAGCCACGCGTGGCGGACTCAGGAGAGGCGCGGGGCCCTTCGAACCGACCCCGTGAGGATGAGGAGGAAGCGGGAGGGCGCCGGGGG